TAAAAATCTTTAAAAATATATATATATATAAAATGTAAATTTCCTCCAACTCACAATCTCACTTTCATCTAAAAGAAATACGGACACAAATCCACACTGACATGTGTACAAAGATTTTCATTAAAGCGTTGTTTGCAATGGGGACAGTTGGAAGCAATACACATGCCTATGAATAGGGGGCTGAGTAAATATAGGATGCTGAATTATGTAATGAAATACTATATAACTGTTAACAAGAATAAAGTCGTCTTAAAATGGCAGAGGAAGGGCTATCCTTGGAAAGGTGTCCTTGATACATAATGAATATATAGAAAATGTTGCCATTTTTGCAAAACTGGGTCCTGGACACTGTTTCCTCCTTAAGTGCACTTTCAGAGACTGAGTGAGATTGCGCATTTGAGCACAGTAGGAACTCAAATATGGTTTGGGTTTGAATTTCAGGAGAGCTAATGTAAGCAACCAGCAAGAAGAGCAGATGCTGATTGTTGGCAGGCATCCTGGGAGCAGAGACAAGGTCCCATCCTGGTAACCCATTAAGATATAAATGACAGCAATGGTTTTTATTTCTTTAGCACTTCAGAACTGATGAAGTACTTTCTCATATATTCTCTCATTTAGTATTCTCATCTCTTTCTTGAGGTTGGCATTGTCACCCTGAGGCCAGGAGGAGGGAGTCTTCAGATAGGTTCAATGAGTAACACACATCCACTCCCATCTGTCCAATTCCCCCACAGCGTTCCCAGGCTGTGCGTCACACATAGGAAGAAAAGGGCTCAAAGATGTATTTCATGAGTATGTGAGTGAGTGGGCGGGTGAGTAAATGAAAATGAGCAAATTTGCTTTCACCTGTGACAGAACCTCATTCCACTCATCTCCACCACTGCCAGAGAGGCGGGCAGGGGGTGACCAATATGAGACAAGATGATCTCAAGAATATAAACCAAAACATACAGCAGCCTCACCCCCTTCTCCCATACTTGGGGAATTGTAAGTCTCTAGGGCAGAAGCAATGGCACCTAATGCGGATGAGCATCTCTAAGGGCAGACTCACCAGCAGAGAAGCCCAGGAGAGTCCCTGCGAGGTCTACCCCCTCACACCCTCGAGTGTCTCTTCCATCAACATATGGTGGAGTGGTCCAGAGACCTGACTTTCGATCTCCACTCGGTCCCTTGCTAGCTTCATGGACTGAGGCCAATCATGTAACTTCTCTGAGCTTCTGTTTCCTTCTCTGTAAAGGAAGGACACTAATAGTTGCTACCTAGCGAGGAAATAAAGGATTAATGGGATAATGCAGATAAACTATAGCTTCTGATACCTGGTGAACTAACACTCAATAGTTTGCCATTGGCTTCTGATTATCACCTGGTGGGATAAACATCACAAGTATGACCACAGAATATCTGCAGAGAGCACTTGAAGCAAAGGTGTATGCATCCAAACGTGTGCGTGTGCATGAGTCTTAGTGCTGAGCAGAGGTGGTTTTGTGGTCTGATAACAGGGAAGAGGCTATTTCAAAGAAACTCTGTGAAGAGTGGGGTTCTCAAACTGTGTTACTGCCCTCTTGGAAAACCATTAAGACAATGCCCGGGCCCAGACCAAAGGTTGGAGTCACCCCAGGTATCTCTCCCCTGCCCGAGCAGCCTTTCTAACATCCTTCCCCACAAGTGGGCACAATCAGGAAACCTGCAAGAATGCTTTCTAATCGGAAGCTTCCTGTTTCAGCATTCAACCCTCCAAGAAGTGATGCTTTGCTACCTGATTATGGTGAAGAATAAGAGTGATCCCAGTTTTCTGTGCTTTTTGTGTCCCAATCACGTTTATTAATCAAGAGGCTCTATCTATTCCAACATGTTACCAAAGTGTTATTCTTCCAAATTGGAGAGGGCTTTCGCAATTTTGCTCAGAATCTATAACTGCTGGGGAAATGAAAAGAAATAGGTTTTCTGTTACCATTCTCATCTCCCACTTGAAACTGTTTCTCTTTCAGTTGTTAATAGAGCAGCACCAATCCCAAGGGCTCAGCTGCACTCCTCCCACCAGCCATGTTACCAGGATACTCCACGCAGGCGGCTCCAGAGAGCAGAGTCTGGGTTGGGCTGTCTTTCCCACCAAAACAAACACAAGAGCCTAAGAAAGGTCCTGAGTGGCACAGGAAACAAAAAGGAAGGAAAGACTTTCCAGAACAATCTAGTGTCTCCACAACTCCACACAAGCCCCTGCTCAAAAACTGAGCATTTCCCCAGCAGAATTGCCCATGCTATTTCCTTCCAGAAAAGCGAACAGAGCAGTTTTGGTATACTCCCCCCACCCAGGCTGCCAGAATTCTGGTGAGCTCCCCTGGGGAGAGCTTGCACTGATTGCTGGAGGCTGCCCACCACTTCCTAGGGTTGGCCCAGCTTGGATATGGGGTCAGGTGGCCATTTGCTTGTTTTAAGGATGCCATAGACCCTGGGGGTCAGAACACACAACAGAAAGACAGAAAGCCACAGAGTGTGGGAGGCAGTGAGGAGGGAGGGAGCACTGGCTATTAGGTAAAAGGAACCCTGGGTGGCCCCTTCCAGTGGTTTCTAGATGAGCTGTCTGTTAACTAGGAATCTCCCAGGAATATATTCCAGAAAGGCCAACACAGAAGTTTCTGATTAGTTCCACTAACATGTAGATCATCCTCATGCTGAGTCTTTAAAAATGAGCACAGCACAGGCCTGACCCTTGACGAATGCACAAGCTAATGTTGGAAGGTCCACCTGCATACCTTGCATACCTGCTTCTCACCTGGTTCAAGCAGGCCTCCAAAGGTCAGTCCGTTTGTAACACCCAGTGACAAAGCAGCTGTTGGCCTGGACTCAGAGCACAGGAAAGGCGTAGGCAAGGAACATACAGAGGAGTTGCCCGGGGCTGGTAGTGCCTACAAAAGGAATCATCTTCAGGCCTAGGGGCTTTGAGGCTGGTGTGGGAATGGACAGGGGTGACTTACTACTTGCTTACTATTTGGATAGCTTTACCTCTCTTTTCTATTCCAAAGACTGTAAAACTCCCATACAGATGTCAGAGACTCGGGCCTGACTGGTTTGCAAAATGAGCCTTCACTTGTCCCAACAGAGGGTACCTCGGCTCCCAGTCTGGTCCTCAAGCCACACCTCTGAGTGGAGGTAAGATTACTCAGCCAAGGAGAATTGTATCCAGTATCAGACACGCTATCTTATAAAAATAAAAATACGCACATTTCTCTAAATCTTTACCAAAACTGAGTGTAATCATTTAAATTTTTTCACTTGGATGGATATTTTAATTCATTACATCTGTAAAATGGAATAGTGTAGAACTGTTGACAATTTCATTTTCGAAAAACAATGACATGATCCCATACTCCCTGACATGGCTTCAAATGTGCTCCTGAAAAAGATGTGCTGAAGTCCTAACCCCCAGTACCTGTGAGTGTGATCTTATCCGGAAATAAGGTCAATTAAGGTGGGCCAGTCAATATTTTTTACCATGTTTATTGGTCCCTGTACCTCCTTATGAGAACTATCTGCTCACACCCTTCCAGAAAAGGTAATTCTTGGGGTAGCTCCAGGGCTGACCATTTGGCCACCCCGCTGAGTCCTTCGCTCAACTCCGAGTAGGAACCTGATGCTTTGAAGGTTAAAATCTGATCCCCTCAGTTGCCCCTAAGTTCCCTTCCAAGAGTTGGTTTGGCCACTGACCTGAGCTTCCTCTTTGGCAGAAAACAGATTCACTGTAAAATTATTTAGCTTAAATTACTTCCAATGTTTCAAGCACATTTCCTGTTCCAGGACGGTAGAATTAATACAAGTACAATAGCTTAGGAACATTAGATATTGCATAATTGCCTGATTGGGGCTCTTACTATTGTCAAGCTCTTGACTGAGCATCCTTGGAATTTAAGATGGGCCCAACAGGACAAGATGTATCTTCCTTCCCTATGCCTTCCCTTCTTCATCCAAGCCGTCTATCCTCAAAACCCCAATACTATGAAGTAGGAATTCATAGGCATGAGAATCTGCAGCCTGCTCCCCCACCACACCCACCCCACCCCACCCCCGTCAGCCCTCCCTCTTCCCCATCAATAGCAAGCCACAGCCTGTGTCTCTCTCCAGAGGAAGCTGGCCAGAGAGCAAGGCTATTGATGAGGGTAAGGCATGGTCATTTTACAGGAGACACATTATGGGGGTCAGTTGCTTACTGGATACTTTCAAACTATACACCCTTCTCATGTTTGGGGATTTCTAAATACAATCTGTAGTTGTAGTTTTTCACAAGTAATCTATTGTCTCAAACTAATGATTCTCCAGTTGGGAATACTTTAAGAAGTTATCAAGCGTAAACCCTGATTCTATTATAACCCTTACCACTCTGTATTGTTTTAGGTACAGGTATGGATTTGCATACTAGACTATGAGCTCTTGAGTTCAGGGTCATGATTTATTTCTTTTTGTATT